AACTATTTACAAGTAAAAGATTAAAAGATGTATAACACGAAATATCATTAAGATAATTCGTTAAAAAGAGTGCAACCATAATAATAGAAGGATCTTTTTGCAATCTCAGTTCTCACAGCAGGCGGATGTAAGAGGTTGCTTTGTCTAGTAGCACGCGCATGGATTGTATTATTACGTTTAAAATATTGTTTAAAATACTGGGGACATTGACCTTGCAGGCATTTCTTAACGAGTTTAAAGACAGATTTACGTCGGCGCTCCTCCAACGTGGGCCATTTCAGAACGTCCATTGCCTGCTTGCTGCGCACAGTTCTAGCCACTATCCTAGCAGCCCGGTTTTGGAGGGCTTCAAGGTCTTGTTTACGACCTTCCCCGCAACAGCCCCACACACATACACAGTACTCTAAAATAGGCCTAATTAGACTACAATACACTACATTTGCACTCTCTCTAGAAAGGCTTCTACGAAGCCTGCCGAGCATTCCTATGCGTTTTCCCGCCTTCGAAATTAGGTGCTTTATTTGCTCATTCCAGCTAAGGCGGTCATCAAAAACTATACCTAGATAAGTAAAATGAAAAACCCGCTTAATTACATTGTTATTTAAAATAATAGAAAAGGAGTTAACAGCAGATAGTCTAGGGGCGGTTCCGAAAAGCATAGCTTCAGTTTTTGTTACATTTACAAACAGACTATTAAAAGAAAGCCAGTCATCAATTTTAGACAGTTCAGCATTCAGCTTGTCTTGAATTACAGAGGCTTGAATTACAGAGGCTTGAATTACAGAGGCTTATTCTCTTAATGTTTCTTTTTCTACTGCCATTCTGTCCCTTCCTTTCCTCTCCCCTCTCAGATTTATCATAATCGAAGGATTTCAGGCGTGGTCTTATTACGCGAGCTCCCTGTGGAATTCCCGAGTTATAAATCGGGCCTCTTTATTTTCCATCTTGACACGCAAAACGTAGTCTAGCAATTAAAGCGCATGCACTAAGTATGCTTTTTCAGTTGCGAAGTAAGAAAACAACTATACGGCATTCAATCATGAAGTATATACCCAGGTAAGCTTCAAAGCACATGGTTATCATGGCGGTCAGAAAGATACCCCGTGGTTCAAGGGTAAATATGTCTTCTCATAAGCTCAAACCACATACAAAAGCACATACTGTTCGTGGTAGACCCACACTAAAAGATGTCGAGGGTTTTCGGAACGGGTCGATCCACGAACTTTACGAGAGATCAACTTACGAACGAATATTTTTGAGTGAACCTTCTATCGAGAATTATGCTATATCAAATGAACTATCTGCTGAACTGTCTATTGTAAGCTTAAAACCTATCCCTGAGCATCGTCGAGTATCTAGCTTAAATTTGTCAAAACGTAAATTATACAACGCTCTTGTCAGATTACATGCCTTTGTAAACATTCCTAAGCAAAGAAGCCCGAGTTCACGCAGTGTATGCGTCTAGTTCTCTTATGCTTTTGTTTCTACTGCCATTCCCTCCCTTTCCCTCCCCTCCCATTTATGAATCTGCCTTTGTCTTACCAAGAGAAGTTAACTCAACCATAAACTTATTCGCCATCAAAGCAGTCAGCTATCTTACCGTTTTTAATTATTTTTGAAGATACCCAGGACACACAGATGTTTAAAGTCAGGTCTTAACTCTTGATGATACAATTACTTGGATAATATAACCATAAAATTGCCAGAAAAGAAGTGAAAATCTGTATTGTATTGTATTCACCAATGATACATGTAATTCAATCTTTACAGCTACTTTCTCTATTCTACTTTCAGCTTTTCCTAAACGGTCAACACTACGGTGGGTGGTTCAGCCCTCGCTGCAGAGGCTTGGTTGTCAGCGGTATGATAGGTGGAAAAGTGTACCACGTGGTATTGGTAGCGTATCCTACCAAAGATTCATTTGAACCCCAGCTCTCCAATGAAGTGGTAAGGTTGTTACTTAACCCCATTAGCTGAACATAGATTCGGTCATGCGCCTTGTGCAACTAAGCCTTTGTTCATCATTGATGTGCATTTTTCATCCTCTGTCCACTTTGCAGGTGGTTTCATGCCCTTTACAAGCTTCATCCGGGGGGCCGCTAGTATCTCTAGAAGCCACCACCTCACCTGATTCTCTTGTAATTGTATGGCCAATCTATTGTGATCCTAACACTGCTGATATCGTATCATACTCCGTGATTATCAATGACCAGCGGTTTGGAGAGCAGGTGAACACCGAATTCAAGTTTTACCTTGTGAACATCATGCTTCACCTCATGCTTCGGTAGTGAATGATTTATTCTACTGGTTTTCATATGAAAAGGGCTAGAATTAGATTGGGACGATTTGCTTCCCTATACCCTCTCCCTTCCGAAAAGGGCAATCCATTGCTCATTCGTGTCGTGCCAAGCGACCTTGAAATGCTTGAAAAATTTAGCGCCTTTCCAGTAGATACTCTTGGGAAGATTTCGTTGATTTTTATCGAAGATTGTACATTTAAATGTCAAGTGTACTTATAGCACAGCACTAGTTCCTCTGCTATTACCTTCACTGAAGCTGTTTGGTCTTTCTTGAAGCCAAAATACTTTACTGCGCTTTTTGTTTACTTTCTTCCCTCGTTCCTGACAATATGTTTTTCTCTTTTTTTGAGCAGGTAATACCGGAATGGGAAAGTGGCTATTGTAGAATACTATTTGAAAGCAGTATGCAAGATCAGAGTTACTCATTGCGTGTAGTTTCTCATTCTTCCCGTGGTAAGTACTTCAGTCTCTTAACTCGTTTGGTCGCCCAGAAATTTGAGCTAATCATCTGGTTTTTCTTTGAAAATGAAATCATAAGATGTGGCTAACGCATTTATATCATTTTAGCTGGCTTTCGAATGATATCTTTTTGCTAACCCATTGTTGAAGAGCTGTCTTTGGAGATTCTGTTTATGAAGCGTGTAATTCTTCTAATTTAGTTCGTTTCCTAGTTTCTATGGCAATCTATGTGACATAGAATAATCTAAGTTCACTGCACTTTTCTGTCTATTCTAAAATGTCAGAAAAAAAGTTGTCACAGAGCAAATAAACGTAATAAATTCATGTTAATTACTTCTAACGCTCGTTCTTGTTTTTTTTCTCTTGCGTTTTCTTGTTACTTTTTTTAATGATAAGGTCGAGAGTTGTTAGTGAAAGAAAACTTGTTCACAATTTATTTAGGTGCACATCTTTTTTTTTTCTTTTTTTAACAGGATCAGATTTTTTGTTGTACTCAAATGAGGTAGAATTCTCGCTGCCAATATCAGAGGAAATTCTTGCGGGTGCTTTACAGAAAACAACAGCTGAAAGTTATTCTGGGGAGGGTGACAAAAATCAAGATGGCGAAGCCGCACGGGAGCTGCTGTTAGTTGCTGAGCGAGTCACTTCAGAGTCGTGTGAGTCAGAACAATCGGCTGAAGGTGAAGAGCTTTCTCTGAAATCTGTCATTAGTAAACTGCAGACAATCCCTGAAGATCAACAGTTGGATGTTTTGGCTGCTGAGCCTGATACAGATGTTGAACAGGGAGTTTCATCTGAAGAAATGGACGATTTAAAGACTATGCTAGTGGACAATGAACTGTTACACCGTCTTGAAAAGCAAGAAAACGCAGCTGGAGATGGACTTGTTCCTTCAGGATATGAAGAAGCTGATGTGAAAGATGCATCAGCTGACTTGTCATCACCTCTGGGGGAAGTTGAGACTTGTACTGCAGTTAACGTTGAACTGGATCCCGCTATTTTCAGAGGCCTCGACGTAAGCCATCGAGGAACAGACTCAATTGTACGATCGCTGGTAGACTCTACAGAAGATGAGAGGAAAGCAAGTCAGCTGTATGAAGAAGTTATGGACGAGGCAACAACTGGGCGAGAATCTAACGTTGAAAGTTACACTCCCACAGGCATTGTATATAATGAACTACAAGAGGATGTTATTGTTAATCAGTGTGTTGTACGCGATCACGGACCAACGGTAGAACAAGCATCAGAGCAGGATGTGGGAACTCAAAAAACACTGGAAAATGGAGAAGGAAAAAGAACTCAGTTAATGGATAGCGACGAACAATCGTCATCGCATGAAACGAGCGCTGATCTTTGGGATCATAACGAAAAACAAGGCGACGAAGATGCGACAAAGAATGAAAATTTTATAGCCAAACGTGACAAGCTCAATAGTCACGCAAAGAGTCACGTAGCGAGCCAGGGTAGTACCAATCATGACAGAGCTGGCGACAATGGTGTCCAGGTCAGCTGGGACAATGACAAACCTGAGGTTGAATCAAGAAAAGAACCTGATCAGGAAACTGTAGAAGACGGGAGTCATTTCAATGATCTTGGGCACGATACTTTCATTGCTCACAGTCGAAGAAGTGAAGTAGGGAAGACAGACTTGTTCACAAGCGATGGAATGTCTTCTGAGATGGCTGATGATTGCACTGAAAAGGTGGTATGTGGTTTACCTAAGCATGATGCCTCAGGCGAGAGAGAATTGCAAGATAGTGACACAGCAATAGAGGATGGAAATGTGCGTGGGGCAAGAGGTGAATGCGTGAGAAAAGTGATATTACCCGACCACCGTGCGCAGCTTACTTTGGAGCGAAATAAGTCAGAGCAACCAGTAAAAAACAGAGAACTGAAGGATGAACACCATCAAGGCGAAAGAGATGATATAAAATCAACAAGAATACAGTTACAAAATGCCTGTCATGAAGAAGTAAACGGAAAACGTAAAAACGAGAACTTACAAGAAGAGTTGATTGCTGCTGCAGTCGAAGTGTTACAAGATTCACTCAACAATTTCACACAAGTGAAACACAGAGCCATTTCAGTGTCAGAGGAAAAAGATGACTCCAAAGGAGCGATTAACGAACGACTCAAGGAAGGCACCAACTCTGAAAAGGTCATGTGTATTGAAAACCAATCTGCAGATTTAACACGGCAGGAAATGAATTATCAAATTCATGGACCTAAAAATGCAAGAGACGGCAACCGACACGAAGTTGTGGACGACACTTGGTCGGCGTTCAGTAGCAATGGCTCAGTGAAGATTGATAACGACAGAATAATGACTGTTGCTTTAGAAACAACAGAGATGCCCACCTTTGAAGAAGCATCGGTCGTAGGTGATCCTATGTTCGAGCTTAACAGTAATCAAGAGGACGTAGACTTCCAAGTTGAAAGAGAAAATAGGGATTCCAACGTGAAGGAAGAGGAAGCAGAAGACCGTTTTCAAGGTTAGATTCTTTTGGCGTCTGACTGTGTTTTTCTTTATAAGGGACACGCGGTAAAGGCAGAATTAAAACCACATTTAAGCACAGGTTTCGAAGATAAGTGCCTAAGATTAGTTTACTGGGCATTGTCATGCATGAGCTCTCTCTCTCTCTCTCTCAGTTTATTCAGGTACTTTCCGTTCTTCGTTTTTTGTATAGTTATTCATTCGACACATCTATTTAATGATGTTGTGTTGTCAGGTGCCCAGAGGTTTGCTGTGGCTTAGTTGTCATGGTGACCCTTCCCTTTACGTCACTTACCTCTCAATGTAATTGACCTAGTGTGTCAAGCAAAGAGAATGTTGCACCTCTGTGTACCTAATATACTTTCACTACAATAGAGTCGTGCTAATTCGGCTTAAAAATTAATTTCTTGTCTCACGCCTCCCGTAACCAGATGCTTTCAGGTGAGATTCAAATCAACTTTTTTTTTTTTTTTACTATTCGTAACATGTGTGATGTCACTGACTGATTGTTTGGGAATCGTGTGTCAGTAGAGGTTTTAGAAACATGTTACGACGAAAATTATTCTCCAGGTGGATCCAAACATCTCCCCAGACCCCTTCTCGTAATCAAAGGAACAACGCCCACCACCGTGACTCTGGAATGGGAATGGAATTTGCTGCCCGGCCAGATTGTTGGCGCAGATATTGTCTACTCTGTGTTTGCCCTCGGTAGAAAATTTCACAGCGATATTAATAGCAATTTTTGGTAAGTTTTGTTGTCTCAAGAAAGCCCTGATTGTGCTAATCTCGGGATTTTTTAACTGCTATGAAATTGAAGTAGTGTCCTTATGCTTCTTTAGTTTTAATTTTGAAGACAGTCCAATGAAGACAATGTGGCCGAATGAAAATGTAAGTAAACTGAATTGACAAATAAAATGATAAAAGCTTTTTTTTATCCCTTTATTAACCTTGAACAGTCCCTTAGAAGTTCTCGTACATCCTTAACACACGCTCGTGCAAAACCTTTCTTTGATTGGTTAATTACTTTATTTCACCTTTTATTGTGTTTAGTTTTTCATATATTTATATATTTACAGGCTCACTTCAAACAACACGCATGGCGCACAACTGGCTGTGTTATCGAGATCACCGGCTTAAAACAGCGTTGTAGTTACAGGTAAGGTAGTTTAATTGATGCTGTATTGTTGTAGAGTACCTACGACACGCCCCTCACTTCTCTACCTTGGTCGTGTCTTTATAGAATGGCCGTTCTGGGCCAGTTGATGCCATGTGCTGATGAAAGCCTGTCACGCGTTATTTCCTTTACCATGCCTGGGCCGCCAAAGTCGCCATTACTCCATGTCAGAGACCTCCAGGATAGACAGGTACTGACAAAGTCCTTAAGTGTTTCTTCTTCAGAGAAAAATTGGACTCAACTTGCGAATTATTGATGTCTGCATCGCTTTGGGTTGAGATGGCATCGCCTGATTTTATCTTGCCATGTCCATGATCGATCATTCTTTGTATTCCAGGTTACTCTGACGTGGAAGCCGCCCGCGTCTTTCGGAGATGCAACTGTCGTGGGATATAGACTACTGAAAGATGGCAAGGCATTTAGGGAAGACCTAAGTTCTGAAACTCTCAGTCTGTCTTTAACTGGTTTAGAGGAAGGTTTGTGTGAACTGACATTTTATGAAGCAAAAAATACTCGGACTAGTTGATTAGAAAATTTCCCATTTGGCTCCATAGATTTTGTCGTTTAAAAGTGGTTTGAGGATGGAAACATGACTTTTATTGTATTAAGTTTGTGAAAGCTAAAACAACTCTAAATAATTTTCAAGTCAATTGTATAGATTTGTCTTAGATTTTTCTAACTTGTGATCTTAACTTGTAATATACGTTTAATCTCTATTTCTACATGTATCCTTTTTTTATCAGGTGTAATCCATAACTTCAGTTTATTAGCTCTGACTGGACACAGTGTAGGAGATAGCAAACCTTCTAATGCAGTCGTTGTACACTGTCCTATTGCACCTGCATCTCCAGAAATTTACATCATAGAATCCTCAACTTGGGGATCTATATGCATCGCATGGAAACGTGATAAGCTAGTGAGCTCCAGTTACTCAAAGAGACCTGTGCAGTCCAGCTACTGTGTCTTTGTAGATGGAGTACTTCATGGGGAATGTGCGCTGGATCATGTGACCGACATATTCTCAGATGAACACACTTATACCATTACAGACTGCATATTTGACCGCAAGTACAGTCTGAGCGTTAGAAAATATCTAAATCCAGATGCAGGTACCAGTGAAGATAAGAATAAGGTTTGTGTGTGTGGTTGCTATGGTGAGAGCTCCAACATTTTGGAGGTTTACTGCCCTGGACCACCATCTTCCCCTGTGCCTCGGGTTTCTCACATTGACCAATCAGGAGTCACCTTGTCATGGAGCAGGTCACGTGAATATGGTGGAGTAGCTTTGGAGGTATGTTTTTTCATTATATTAACTTAGTAATACCACGAGTTATACGGTCTGCACTATTGAGATTATTGTTATGAAATAAATGTTTATTTTTCCTTGTTTAAGGGCTACCTTCTCTGCATAAATGGTAAATGGTCAGGAGAACTGTTTCCCCCAGAACAGCAAGAAACAAAATTAACAGGTTTTAGGCCAGGAGATGTCATCCGCGTCCAGATGGCTGCGGTTGCTTCAGATCTTGGCGTTCCAATATCAGAAACAGTTAGCCAGGAAATCAATAAAGCGCGTTCCTTTCCGTCTTCATTTGAATTACTTGACAGTGGTGTGGAAAGTAGCTCAAGTTTGCTTTCCAAAGGTTCAGTCGACCATTCAGAACAGTTATCCCGCTCTCTAGGGCCGCCATTGCTGATCCAGTACTCCAACTTGGTTAGACCAATTTCCAGGTTTGGACTGACGAATGTGTGCTGTCGATCTGTTTGCATTACATGGTCATTGGATGTTACAGCTTCTTGTTCCGTTGAGCCAGCGATACTAAGAGCTTTTTGCTGGAAAACTACAAAGCATCGAAGATCTGCCGTGAGATACAGGGTTGAAGGTAAGGATTGAGCAAATTGATGTGAAAGTTCGGTATCACCAGATCTTGACTTACAGGTTATCCGTAGGAAATGTTCAGTTACCAGCATAAATTGCTGAGCAAGCAGTCGTGCACGAACTGTTCACGTGCACACTGAGAGCAATGTTCAGTTACCAGTCTAAATTGCTGAGCAAGCAATCGTGCACGAACTGTTCACGTGCACACTGAGGGCAATGTTTTACCAGACCGTCCATACAGCAGCTTAAAAAAGGTTATGAGGGGCTGAAGAGGGGTGACAAGAGCAATTTTAAGGTGTTTTTCTCCAAATATGTTTAGTAACATTTTGGCTTCGTCGTCTGAACCTTTTTACTCGTTGAAAAATGCTCTTTTGTCTTTCAATAGAGAAGCCTTTCAGAATCAAAGACCTTGAACCAGGAATGGAGTACTATGTAATGTTAGAATGTCTTGCGTCACACGTTAATGACGACAGTTCCAATGAACAGCCAATCAACCGCAACCAATCCCAGCCCATCTCGTTCAAGACGGGCATACCACCAGGCCCTCTCACTAATATTTACGTGATCTCAGCTACAGAGCAAAGTATCAAACTGGCCTGGGAGGCTCCAGTAGAACACGGTGTCCCTGCAGCCATGATACTAGTGAACGTAAAAAAGACCAGTCAGCATTCAACTGAACAAGGCGTAAACTTTCACGTGTCCCCTGACTCCACCGCTTTTGAATTTGAACATTTGGCGTCAAGAACCCTATACGCATTTACATTCAAGGTCTTAACTGAAGATGACATCTTCGACATCTCTGAAGAGAGAAGTACGTCAATTGCTAGTTTCTGTGCGTCTACAAACGGCGTGGATGCCGCTGACAAACTTACACTAACGTCACGCACTCCTACTTCACTTTCCATTAAATGGCAGCCGGCTGAGGCTCATGGGTTTTCCATTATTCAACACTATAAAGTACATTATGATCTAAACAGACGGCAACGTAAGAGGTCACGTGGTAAAGTGGTGCAGCAAGCGGAGACCGTGAAGGATTTCGTTATTGCGAGTGAGCGCTGTGAAGCAGCGTTAAGAGGACTGGAACCTGGTTGTGTTTATAAGATCGTTGTTCAGACGGTGGAAGGACTGATGGACCATTCGTATGAGGAAAACTACGACAGTGACGACAGCGACACGAATCCCGCTAATAGCAGTACTCCAAGTGAGAAGCCAGCTGATGTGCAACGAATTCACCTATCAGGACCCCTGTTAGTTTCGACCTTGGCCCCGCCTGAGTCGCCTGTGCTCATGGTTAGCGATTTTACTGCAACTCAAATTCGTCTGACTTGGAATCGACCTCTGGTTCTGTCACCAGGTAAGGAAGTTAAGAATTGTGTACCATTCACTTACCTCGAATTGCCTGCTAACGTGTCAACGACGTCACTCCATTTTGGCTATGTTCGTCTTAGACATAAAGCTGGAAGGGGCTCACTTTTCCAAATTTGCGTTCAAGGTGCTTAGTCTTTTCAAAAAACTAATATAACATAACTCACGTCAACTAATTTGTTGATTTTTGACATGGCCCAGTCACTAATGATGACGACATTCCCTGTGGTCGCGTGCGTCATTTAAAGGGTTTCCGTGTGCAAATCAATGGCCGCGTGTTCAGCAGATTAACCGCTGACAAGACGAGCATTACAATCAAGAAATGCAAGTCAGGAATGAAGTACACCTGTGTGGTTGTGGCTGTGACTTGTCCTGAGATGTTTGGTGGTCATCAAAGGAAGGTTGGTTCAGTGGGTCCGCCTTGGTTTCTAATTCTCGTAAACTAAGCTGGGTTATATGTATATATATATATATATATATAGGAAGTCTGCAAGTCGATTTTCGCGTGGAACAGTGCTCAATACGTTGAAGCAGAGCAGAATAAATATTATGAGAGGAAAAAAGGACGTAATTACATTTCCCGACAAGCCTGTTTCGTGAATCGCTTCACTCTTCAGGGGTTTAATGAAAGAATATTCATGTGACTATCGTTTATATACTAGGAAAATTTGCATAATGCGCGGTAAACTTAAAAACTTTAAAGTTCAGTTGTTGCGTAGCAACGCTTTGTTTCTGTGTCGGCATGAAGATACGAGTTCGTTACGCTTATTTAGTGATGAGAGGTCGGGTCGGTAAATTATCAGGAATTTTTCTTTTAGGCAGAGGTTGCATCTTTTATTGGAGCTGTTGTAGGGAGAGTTAGATGATAAGATGCGCCATGAGATAGAATAGTCAATGTTGTCGTTCTTGAGTGTCCAGATGTGTTTGCTAAGTTCGGTAGAGTTTTTGTGCTTCGGTAGAGTTTTTTAAGTTTTTAAGTTTACCGCGCATTATGCAAATTTTCCTAGTATATAAACGATAGTCACATGAATATTCTTTCATTAAACCCCTGAAGAGTGAAGCGATTCACGAAACAGGCTTGTCGGGAAATGTAGTTACGTCCTTTTTTCCTCTCATAATATTTATTCTGCTCTGCTTCAACGTATTGAGCACTGTTCCACGCGAAAATCGACTTGCAGACTTCCTATATATATATATATATATATATATATATATATA